AAGAAAGAAAGAAAGAAAGAAAGAAAGAAAGAAAGAACCCCCACTTGACACGCACTTTAAAACATGGCCTAGTTTAGGCTGAAATTTTGTGTTTTTTTAACAATTGATTGAATCTTAGTTTTTAAAAATAACTTAATGTGTACATTTTCACTTACTGAATATAAATGGCAAATTGGCTTAAAAAAATTAACTCACAAGTCTGATTTTAAATACTGTTGATGTTCCCTACTTTTTGTTTTTTTCAGGTCCAAGTACTTTGGATAATATTGTAGAAGATGTTACACATCCCTGTAACCCAAATCCCTGTGCTGCAAATCAATTGTGTGAAGTAAACAGAAAGGGGTGTCAGCCTCTTGAACCTTGTCTTCCCTATTTTTGTGTGCAGGGTAAGCCATACTTTTTAAAGCCTAAACAAATGTTATAAGATTCCTAATAACATTTGCCTTTCTTGTTATTGAACATGCCTTTCTTCAAAGGGACTGCTGTTTCTTTTAGAATTTCAAAATTGGAACACTAAGTTTTATTACTATTTATTGACTAGAAAATGCATATACTGCTTTTCACTTCATTAAAATTCCATAATAGTTTACAATAAAATAAAAAATGGAGTAACATTGACTAATAATGCAATAAATAAAAAGTTAGAATTGCATTTTAGCTGTTATTAAACTTGGCTGACAAAGATGGAGCAAATGAGACTTCACAACTTCACAGTTGTTAATGGAAACACTCCACACTGATAGTCCACATGGTCTCACTTAGGTGAAAGTGAAGACTCCCTTAAATTGAGCTCTGGTTTTCTAGTTCTGTTTAACTTTTTTGAGATCAATCAAGATTGACTTGTGGCTAAAATCTATGGTGACTTAAACTAGGTAGTAAGTATCAAATAGAGAATGCTGTCTTTTCCTATAATGGAGGAATCCTACAGTGAGATTGTTCCTTTTACTTGCTCCAGTAAGTAGGAACAGATCTTTCAACTTTCCTCACTGTGAGAGGAAGAACTGACCTGTCCAGGTCTGGTCTGGTCTGGTCTCTCCTCTCCTTTCCCCTCCCCTCCCCTCCC